TCCATCATGTTTTTTGATTTGTTTTTTTTAAAAAAGTTGCTTTGCTCAGGTATCATTGTTTGCAGCCTGGAAACCCTCAACTTCACAACCCAAATAACTATTCTTATATATGAGATTAGACCAGCAAGCAGTTTGATCTTGCTCTTGCCTAATATCCATGCATGCAAGATTTTCCAACAGAGATCCCTTGATAGAGATCAGGACGAGGATTCCTGGCTTGATATTTTGTTCCTTTCCCTCCCTAGCTCAGCTGTACCAAGGCCAAATGCTTCATTTGGCCTTGGCACAGCTGGGCTAGGGAGGGAAAGGAACAAACTGCTTTTTGTAGCTGAGATCGACCAGTGCAGATAGGGAAGTTGGACCTGTGATTTTCTGCTGTGTGAAACGTACTACTACATTGGGTGGTGACGTTACCCTCTAGATGCCATGGGAGCTAACAGTTTTTTAAATTTAAAAAATAAATGGGCATATTTATAGATGGTGGAAATTAATGGATCATGCTGCTGTGGAATGAGAAGCATAAGCAATCCAATGTGATGTGTTTAGTTTAAAAGCCTTCTGTAAGACCAAATTTACAGGCTCCTTGAAGAGGCTATGTAGGATTTATTTTTTAACAAGTTTGATAATTGACTTAATCTTGTTTGATTGCAGGTTCCTATCAAATACTATATACATGCAAGCAACCCTAAGCCATTTAATATATTATGTAAATCTTATAGTATTACTTCGCTCACAAAACACACAATCACTCAACTTGCAGGATATGCTGTAACATCGAGACATCCTCCTGATGTTAAAGGTAATCCTTGCGTTTGGTACAGCGCCTTATCAAGGATTTTTTCCTGGTGAAAGTGGCATTTAATGGATAATAATGAACTAAATAAGTGATTATAAATAATCCTTACATTTGGTATAGCGAGTGGGAGATGTTCCAACACCCTTCATGGGTGTACCTTAATGTGGAGTGATTGGGTGTTATGTAGACAAACAATTTGCACACAGCAATGTTCCACAAAAAGCTATGAAGTGAATGACCAATTTTTATTTTGGGGGATTGTTGGTTGAGACAAAAGGAAAAACTCTTCTCTTTTCAAATAGTGCTGTAGGATCTTTAGCGTCCATCTGAACAGGCAGACAGTGCCTTGGTATAATGTCTCACCTGAAGGACAGACCTCCAACAATGCAGCACATCCCATCGCCTCTCCCGACTGCCACCCAACCCATGTTGCCCTGGAATCATCTGAACTCCTCCCCCTCTGACCTACCTCCCGCACTGACTTATCCTCCTCAGTCACTCTCCTCCACTATTTGCTCTCCACGAACCACCTCCTGCTCACAAACCTCACCCTGGTACACCAGCCACCTCCACTCACCCAAGGGTCAGGTGCGTGCTACCAAACATAACTGGCTGAAATTTAATTTAACAATAGGTCCACTTAATAATAATAATAAGGTCCACTTGCAGATATGGCTGGACCACACTTCCGCTAAATCATCTTTCTATTCCAAGATAATCTTGGAGGCCAAAGACAACCCCAGGCTTCTTTACTCCACAACCAACCGGCTCCTCCGTCCACCCTCTCGTGCCTCTCCCATCCTCTCCTCCAACTGCGAGGAGATGCTGGATTTCCTCGAGACCAAAATCGAGGGGAAATTCAGCCGCCTCTGCCCTCCCACCCGCCCAGCCCTCCCTCTACACCTTCGAACCTATCTCCCCCTCCTTTCTCACCACCAGTATAACCCGCATGAAGTCTACCACCTGCTCCCTCATCCCTGTCCCTACCCCTCTTCTTATCTCCCAACTCCACCTCCTCACCCCTTTACTCTCACACCTCGTCAACCTCTACCAGAATGACATTCTGTCCATCTGTGACCAGGGCTCCCTCTGTTTCCTTGTCCTCCTCGACCTCTCTGCTGCCTTTGACACTATGGGCTACTTTATCTTCCTCTCCTCTCACCTTAATGTTTAAGGTTCTGTCCTTGAATGGTTCAGATCCTATCTCTCAGCCCGGCTCCACTTTGTCTCCACAAATGGCTTCTCCTCCAGCCCCACACTGTCTTGTGCAGTGTTCTTCAGGACTCTGTCCTCTGTCCTCTCCTCTTCAACCTGTACCTGCTTCCTCTTGGTGACATCATCCGCAGACATGGGGTCAACTTCCACATGTACGCAGATGGTACCCAACTCTATCTCTCTGCATCCACCCTCGACTCCAGGACCACTGATGTTCTGACAGTTGAACGCCACCAAGACCGAGGCTCTCCTGATTGGCTTGTGCCAGTGCCTCCACATCTCAGGCACTGGCAGCATCAGCATCCACAGATGCACACTCCACCTCACCAAGCCAGTCAGGAACCCAGGTGTCTTGTTCAACCTTCAACTGTCCTTTCTCCCCCACATCCGTGCCATGACCCCACTTATCTTCTCCCACCTCCGCAACATTGCCCGACTCCATCACTGCCTCACCCCTCTGGCCACTGAAACCCTCGTACCTGTCTTCATTACAACCAGGCTCCACTAGGCCAACGCACTGCTTATCAGTCTTCCCAACTCTTCCCTACACCAGCTACAGATCATCCAGGATTCTGCAGCTTGTGTTCTCTCCCACACCAGGCTCCATGACCCCATCACACACACCCTCGCCCAGGTCCACTGGCTCCCCATCCCTCAGAGGATTGAGTTCAAAATTCTCATCCTCACCTTCAAGGCCCTCCATGGCCTTGCCCCCTCCTACCTTTCCGACCTGCTAACCCCTTATCAACCTGTCTGCTCAGCAGACTCCAGCCTGTTCCATGTTCCCCACCTGGCCCGCCCCACCATCAGCAGTCGGGCCTTCAGCCTCTCTGCCCCTACCCTCTGGAACTCCATCTCACATTCACTTTGCGTCGTTCCCTCCCTTGCCTCTTTCAAGGCATGTCTCAAGACCCTCCACTTTGACAGTGCCTTCGGCCACCCTCCTAGCCTCTCTGCCCTCCACCCTCCGTAATCCCAACCACCCCCCCACCCTGCTTGGGTCCTAATCGCTGACTGTTCAGAGCCTTTGGTCGTCCTACCAATGTGGAAGGCACTTTACAAATGTAATTTTGTGTTGTATCCCCAGCACTAAGTTGGAGAGTCAACTGTATGAGTTCCAAATCCCAGGATGGGACTTGAACCCACAGCCTTCTGACCCGGAGGTGAGAGTACTACCACTGAGCCAAATTATGTTAATAATGACATGGTTAACTATAAAAAAGTTACTACATGATGAAACTCTGGTGGCTTGCTGAAAAAATAAATCAATGATTCCTGGCAAGTAATTTGTTTAAGCTACATGTTGACTGATATTTGTTATGATCTTACTTGAGATATTTTGTTAAAGAATAGTTTGAGATTACAGGATTGTGTGCTGCAAGACAGCGCTGTGGTACTCATGTGCAGTGCAGGTGTGGTTGGTTGGTGACCTGACTGAGGCTTTGGGAAAAAGATAACATGTTCAAGTTTTTAATTGACACTAATTGCAATAAATAAATAATTACAATTGGCATCAACCATTGTTGCAACGGAGCACAGTTTATAAGGCTGCACTCCTTTGATTGTACCATGCAATGTTTTGAATCATAGATTCCTAAATAACCCACTGCAAATATCCTATTGATACTCCACCCACTCAGTGGTACAAGCTTAGGAGAATGAATAACTGGTATTTGCTACAAGACAGGAATTGAGCTGGAGCAATTTTCAATGTCATCACAACCCAGAGATTAAATCACTTGTATCTCTGCCAGCCATCTCCTCTCCTACTTTGGTGATTGGTATTGTTTTTCAGATATTCAGGAGTGAATTTCACCAATGACGCAAATGATACGTTAGCTGTCAATCCTTTGCTTACTACATTTGAATGGTACCTCCTAAATACAGTAAACTCCCAACTTGTCACTGCCACTTATGTCATCATGCTGTCAACAGCCCCACTGCATTTATTTATGTAGTTACACATATGCTTAACTCGCGCTGAGCCCTTATCCCTTGGAGTGATCTATTATCAGGAGCTTACTGTACCCTTTTTTTATGGAAAGAAAATATAGGTGGTGGTATCGAGGTAAGCAGGTTGATCCTCCAGTAAGAGAAATGAGCTATGAGTTTGTAAAATGTGTCAAATCCAAAATAAATCTTTCAGATCTACAAGACAACAGATCCCGAGTTCAAGGTTTTGAAGGGCAATTTAACATGGACACCCAGGAAGTATTTCTTTACATATCTCTAGCTTCTGATTCACAGTCAGACTATCTTAACTTAGGCTTTTCATGTGATCTTTTCACAGTGGAAATACATTCCATCTCCTTCTGTAGGTTCTGTTGTACAGCATTTATGTGATCGAGACATTGAAATAACCTCAAATTGTGAGAGAAAATCTTGAGCATCATTTGGTCCTGAGTGCAACCTTCCTGATTTTGAAGTTTGTTGTTGGAGTTTGGGTGCTGGCATTTGGTTCTTTTTATCATAAGCAATTAACACATACTTGCATGAGTAAATGTGTTCTTTTCATTTGTGGTAGGTAATCTGTTTGGGGAATCTCTTAATTACATTAAATTCACTTAAAATAATTACATGTTTAAGCAAATGTGAAACTCTTGGCTGACCATGTGTTTATTCTTAGATAGATAAAAGCTGAGACTGGGTGCAGAACTTGACTCCCTGTATATAGTACCAATACCAATGACCAGTATTGGTGTTATATGCAGATTGAAGGGAATATTCCCTTTAAAATGTGTGCACATTCTATTCCAATAAACATCTCCGAATTTTCCATGTATAGGTGGGATGCATGGAACTCTGTTTTCTATTAAGCATGATGATAGGTTTCTGCAAAAAAAACAATAAAATCTTCTCCAAATTCAAATTTGGCTATTAATTGCAATTTTAAAAAATGTGAGTGCAATTGAGGTGATTGTCCAAGTGATTCATTGTGTTCTGCTCTTTATGAGATCCTTTTAACAATGATGTTTCTTTGTAATGGCAGGGTGACTTTACGTGGAACAGCATGTCTGGCCGTAGTGTTCGACTGAAGGCAGTTCCCATTCAAAGCCTCTCAGAGTTGGAGAGAGTACGACTTCAGGATGTGGCATTTTATCGGTTGCAACAAGACTATGAACTTGCTTGCCAAGTTACAATTCCAAAAGGTAAGATAATATGTACAGATTGCTTTGTCTTATTTCCTCCTCTTCCCCCACCCCTCATTATCAATCCTCACTTTCAAACTCTTCAATTGGGAGGCAAAACCCAGAAAAGGTGTTTGTACCTGTAAATGCACACGTTAAATGGGTACCAGCATCTTATTGATTTTTGAACGGGATCATGAGGACATTCAGCTCAACCAGGTCATTATTTTCATTCCCAGTGTCTTGGGACGTCCTCCCGATGTGAAAGGCGCTCTATAAATGTAATTGTGTTGTTGTTTTGGAAACCTATTTCGTGCCCTTCTGGATTCAGGAATACCTTTTTATTTTTTGTTCAGCTAAGTATGGCTCTGCCACTGTTAAGTGCTCCAATATGCTGCCCTGTGTGCAGGGTGCTATATAAATGTACAACAACAACAACAACAAGATTCCATTTATAGAGCGCCTTTCACGTCGGGAGGACGTCCCAAGGCGCTGTACAGTTGGGTCAGGACCAGAGTAAGAGGGAAATGGTCAGGGTGAGGGGAGGGAAGGGAGGGAGCGAGGAGGGGGTAGAGAGGCGAGAGGGGAGCAGTTGTATGCAACTCACATGGAAACTCATCACTTTACATTCCCTCAACAGAACTACTGAGAGTTCCACTTATATATATGGGTTGCATTTGGCTGGTATAGAATGTGGCTCGTTTACCAAAGGAATGCACATTGCTTTCCTAATCCCGAGAAGTTTAGATATAGGTTGGCCAGATCCAAGGTTTGAGGCCCGAAAGCATTTGGGCAGTGCTTGAATTTAAACTGCTAAAACCACACAGTTGAGAATACTGGAAAGCTTGCCTTTATTCTTGTTCAATTAAGATCATCCTACTTGTTAGGACCTGGCTTTGACCTGTATGCTTTTCAGAAGCCAAATGGGAAGAAACCCTGCCCATCGTTCCTCTACATCCTGTCAATAGGTCAGGCTTGCGGGTCCAATATTTACAGTGATCTACTTCACTGCTTGGGTCAGATACAACAACTCAGTCCCAAAAAGAGTCCACGGGGAACCTCCTCTTCAATAGGATAGTCACTGCAGTAGGTGGTAATTGCATATTTGATAAGCTCAGATTTGAACTCTCACTAGGTAGATGGCAGGTAATAATAATAACAATCCTTGCAATTGATGTAGCACCATTCATGTTGGGAGGATGTCCCCAAAGGATTTACTGTAAAGTGGAGTGACTGTATATGTTGGCGAACTGCTCACGAGCCATATAGTGAGCAGCACAACTAAACACTTGTCATGTCAACTATCCTTGAATCCATTTTACAAGGTTTCTATTCTGTGTGCTCTGTTTTCGTATTACTTGCCAGGCAAAATACCAGTGCAAATAAAATCATGTTTTCACAGATGGAAATCAATGACAAAGTGCAGCGAAAAACTACCTTAACTGATCTATTTTACACTGCAAAATAAATCTTCTTAAAGCTCAATGAGTAAAAATGTAACAAGCTCAATGAATAAAAATATTTTAAATAATTTCAAAAGTAGATGCCATTCAACACTTAGCAGACGGATGTGTAGTCAAGTAACTGAGAAGGATGAGCTATTGGGAGTAAATATTGTACTGTATACTTTACAGACAATTTCTATAATGTCGCAATAGAATTATGACTAAATCTAAATACTCTTGTCTTTGTATAGCATCACTCCTACATTAGTATTGTAATAGGACTTGCTCTCTGGCTTCAAGTTTCCTTCTGAGAGTGGGCCATTTGCTTCTGTTATTTCCTGGCTTGATGATTGTGCTACTTTCTAAATTGAGCCTGCTCTTTTTTCCTTTTAGCTTTCTTGAGAGGCTCATACTTTACCATGTGCACGACCAAGCTACATATGTTTTGTATCAAGTTGCACAATTTTTTTTGGTAACTTTCCAACTGAAAATAGTATTTGTTAAATACACGCAGCGTAGAATTTCTTCCCTATCAGTTTACTTATTTGCTAATGATTCTTGTCACATCATCTTTGTTTATTTAAACGTTTAGCAGTTTATTCAAATGTTTTAACTGTATTGTTAATAATTGTGTTCATAATTCACAATAGAATAATAAGGTTGAATTTGAGGATATGTGATGGAAACTACTTAATAATAACACTAATAATCCCTGCATTTGGTATAGTCGTTTGCATGTCAGAAGGACGGCTCAAAGCGCTTCACAGAATTTGTTAAATGGAGTGACTATGTATTTGTAGGCAAATGCGGCAGTAGAGTTGTGCGCAGCCAAGTCCCACAAACAGCCGTGAAATGAATGACAAATGGTATTTGGGGGATTGTTGGCTAGGACATAGGGAGAATTGCCCTTCTCTTTTCAAGTAGTGTTATGGGATCTTTAACATCCACCTGAACAGGCAGATTTGACATCTCATCCAAAGGACAGCTTGGAGATTGCGTCATTTTCCCAACAGCAAGTATGTGTGTTTATTTATCTATATTACCATAAACTACACATTATGTTGATGGAAAGTTCAAAAGAACCTTGGGAGAAGTATATTTCTACTGGAAATGCTAACATACAGAACCCCAAAAAATATTTAGGACAACATTTTTTAGACCTGTTTACATCCCTTGTCAATGTTCCTCCTATTCAATGCACTTAGTGCCATCTCTGTGTGTGCTGACCAGCTTGACTCAAAGTGCACCCCACTCATCCCATAGTGTCCAAAGAATGAAATCGCAAATCAAAAAGCCCCAAATAGGTTATGAAGTGCTTATCTAATATCTGTTCCATCGAATGTAACCACAATGAACTCTCTGTTTTTACCTGGTTTGTTTTGTCAAGCATACATTGAATTAATTTGGTGGATTGTTTGTGTTGCAATGGCAATCGGGTACAAATGCCTAGTGATATGACCACCTATGTACTGGAGTATGATTGTCATTGTAGCATAGTGAGAGTCTGTTCTGTGTGATATACTGGGCTGGAGTAACTTGCTGGGTTTGTTGCACATCTGACAGATTGCTTTGACAGTCTTACAATAGATGTGGGCATATACAGGGTAGGTGCACAACAGGTTAGTTTACAATTGTTTAAGAAGATGGATTTACCTTTTAGAAGTGGCTCTAGGTTGCCTTATACAGTAGAAAGAAAGAATTGATGCAAAAATTAAGGTTCAAATTCACAGCAGTAGCCAAATCCATTAATCAGGTGGTTTTCAAAGTTTGAATGTGGAATGAGGTTCAAGGTTGTAATGGCAAGCAAAACGATTAAATATTCTCTAGTTCATAATGGTTCCTATGCTGCTGACACCATTGGATTGTCGTGCTGTGGAAAACAAGCAGTCAAAGATGAATAGTGCACTCGTGCACTTCGAAGCAATATTCATTAGTTTTACTGCAATATCCTTGGGGTTCAAGGAGAAATCTTGCAGAACTTTCTCCTGGAAGACTAATTACAAACTGGATTGGAAACTGTAATCTTCTGATCTGTTTGGCTTAGTATAACACTCACCTTTACCCACTATGCCATCTTGGGAAGTGAAGTGTAGATTTTATTAATCCAAAATACATATTCTGTCACAAATACAAAAAAAAGTTTTTTCTCAGCACAATATGAATTCAATTATGTCTTATTAATAAACATTGCTAAATAAATTGTGAAGGCATTGTAAACTAAGTGCATCAGTGTAATTCTGCCTGCAATAATTGCAGTAATGTAATTTTTGTCTTAAGTGGTAGAGGAACCAGTAGGCCTGCTATAAATGTTGCAGGCTTGAAAATCTGGACAATTTTACAGTTGTTTTTACTAACATGACCCAGCATCCTGGTAACACACACCCATTCATCTTCTTTGATTTAAATGGAAGTTAAAACTTAAATGTGACAAACGGACAAAGTCCCTCCACAGCTTGCACAGTTGGATTGTTCCCGAATGAATATACCTCACTGTTACTGTGAAGGCATGTGGTATGGCCCCTTGCCATTCTTCCAAAGGCAAATATTAATCCACGTGATATCTTGACACAACCACCATCAAACCAATTTGTTACCCTCACAGTCTCAATACTTTACTTTTACTTTGAACGAATGCAGCCTGTGGATCTTTGCAATTGCTCAGTCATTTAGCACTGAACTTGGGTTTACCTTTTTGAGAAAGGTTATGGAATTGTGAGGTCATTTCAAAGTTAAATTGCCCTTCTTAGACCGCATTGCTTCAATATTAATACAAGATGTGTTGGCTGTTTTTCAATCGCAGAGGCTGAGACTGTAAATAAAGTTGGAATTCAGTTCTGGATGAAAATATTCAACTATTTCCTGCAACCATGCAGTAAAAAAGTACTGTTGTGTAATAAAATTAACTGTCAATGTGGTAATCTATTTTCCTATATCGGTGCCATTCACCTTTATTTGTCATGCACGTTGCTAAAATTGCAGAGAATGATATTGATTGGAAACAAACCATTCGGCCCAAGTAGACCGGGCCAATACTTATACTCCATATGAGCCTTTCCCCTCTCCTACACCCTTCTACTCTCTTCTCCCTCATGTATATATTTTCTCTTAAATACATTGCTGTTTTTGTTTCAACCACACTTTCCGGCAGTTTGTTCCACATGCTCCCAACCCTCTGCATAAGGAAGTCCCCCACTAAACTCCCTTTAGGATCTGTTATTGGCTATGTTATATTTATTCTGCCTTGTTTTGGACTCACCAACAAGTGGAAACAGTCAATTAACATCCACTTCAACATCAAATCGTCTCATAACCCTAACACCTTTATTATGTCACCTCTCAATCATATCGTCTCCAGGAAGAAAAGCTCCAACCTGTTTGAATTATCAGTGACCATGTGTTTTAGGACTTAAATCCTCCTCTCCACCTCCCCTTTGCTCCCCCCTCCCCTTTGTTCCACGCTTAAAGATTATCGTCATTATTAAAATTTCCTTCCTTTATTAACATTGAAGATAGCACTCAAGCTTTACTGCCTGTACTTCTGCCTCTACAATGTCCAAAAATGGCCATTATGTTTTG